CAATATAGGATTAAGCCATTTTAGGTCTGTCTCTAGAGACAGAAATAATGTTGCTCTGTGAGTCTGAGAAATTTGAGTAGCATTGTACCTTGTTGATTGTGCATTTTGCTTCTGAAAACAAGTCTTAGAGCCGGGCAGTGGTGGAGCACGCCTTTAATCCCAGCACTCGGGAGGCAGAGGCAGGCAGATCTCTGTGAGTTCGAGGCCAGCCTGGTCTACAAGAGCTAGTTCCAGGATAGGAACCAAAAACTACCAGGATAGGAACCAAAAACTACGGAGAAACCCTGTCTCGAAAAATTCAAACAAACAAACAAACAGAAAAAACCAAGTCTTAGATCTTTCCATGTTAGTACAGAAGAGAAGCCAAAGAATATCCCAGATCACCTATGTGTAGATTCTAAAAATAATAATTCCATGTGTTTTTGACACATTTTAATGTAGTTTTGTTTGTTTTAACAATGGAAATAGCTTTATCTATTTAGTTCTTCGAATTTAAAAATTCTTTATGGTGTTAGCTTTTTGGTATTTTTCAAATGCTTATAATTTAGGTTATATTCACAGTTTTCCCTGTTACTTTTAAGGGTTTTGAGAGATTCAGGGTTCTTGTATGTACAGCCTTTCATCAAGCTCAGACTTCTCGGTAGTGTTTTTCACACACCCAGAGTCTGAAGAAGTGTCTCAGCAGACAGTTGGGGCATGTCCCCATCCCTCTTCTGTCTTCAACTACCCTAGTTCTGGTTTTATCTGAATGATATATTGAGACTTCAAGTAATAGTTTGTTTGAGAATAAAATTTCACTGTTAAAAAAGGTTTGAAAATCATTAAATAAATGGGACTTTGAACCTCCCTCCCGTCTTCCCTTTACTATCTAATGGTCTCACTATGCAGCCTGGAACTCAATGTGTAGACCAGAGTGGTCTCAAACTCACAGAGATCTGCCAGGTCAAAGTTGGTTGTCGTTTTGTTTTTGTTTTTTGTTTTTTTTTTTTTTTGGTCATCAGGATATTAATATTTTAGAAATGTCTTGGCACTATTTTGCAGGCTTCAGTTGAGAAAATTAGTCATATGTAACTCTTCACCCTAACCTTTACTGTTTATTTTCTCACAGTTTTATGTACCTGATCAAAAACTGAAATTTGCTATTTAATCTGGTAACCTGTAGTCAATTCTTTTGCCATTTCTTAGTCAACAACCTAAGCTTGTACACTGTGTTCCCAGGGCTCATTCAAATTGATGTGTGTCTTCTGGGTCTGAATTTTTTCATAGCAACAAATGAACCTCTGGTTACTGTTCCCTTGGTCCGTGGGTTGAGAGGTCACCCTGGTTTGCAGCCCATTGCACTTTTTCCCCTCACCATCACAGGAAGCTTAGCAACTTGGAAAATGTGCTTAGTCAAATACTATTATAAGTGGCTTTAAACATAGCCAAGCATTTCATTCTGCAGCTACCACCAGAAATCCTAGCGCTAAATAGGGAAGATTATGAAATCTTCTTTAACGACTTCAAAGAGAAACAGCGTGGAGATAAGGGAATCCTGGCAAGATTTGCTGCAGCTGTCAGTTCCCGGGGAATCAGGAACCAAAATTTGACACTTGGAGTTGACTCATCCACCATTCCAAGTGAGCCTAGGCAAACCTGAGGTATTTTTAGAACCTTTCAAATCACATTGTGCTCTTTATCATAGCAGGGCTGCGGGGCCTCAAATTTCCCAAGAGATAGAACAAAACAGGACCAAATAAATTTGGCTCAGCCTACTGTAATAGCAGTAGTATTTGATGCATGCAATTGTAGATGTAAAACTTTTCATCTTTTTTCCTGGGGCATTAAGACCACTGCGACAGCAGCTGAAACATTCATAGAACAGTGACAGCTGTGAGGTGGTCTGATTCTAGGACTCGCAGGGACTTGGGTGGGTGTTGTCAGCCCTCTTTCAAACAGATGCTGGGCCAGCCTTTCCCTTAAGGCTGATTGCTGCCAGCGCGTACCGCACTGTTCATTATAGTCTGCAGAGCCGGCACAGTTAACTAGCCACTACCATATGCACAGGATTGTGTTGTTCGTGCTCAGCTGCCGAAACTTCCTAATTTAAAGTTAAAAATGTAATAGGAACAGGTTGGGAAAGGTTGGGATAGAATTTGTGTATGTGTTTATGTCACACTAGTTATGCTGGGTATTGTGAACAGACGGCCATTTTAGCAGAAAACAAAGGTTGCTTTGAAACATTTTCTTTTTGCTTAGACCAGGTAGCAGTTCTGAGAGCAAACTTCAGAGCCTGTGAGTCATCTGCAAAAGAAGATAGCCTGAATTCAGACAAAATGGCAGATACTGACCAGTGAGGGAGGGATGCTGCCTCTGGACGCAGCCATGCTGCTTGTCGATGGTGGCATCTTATCTTAACTCCTTAGGTCCCTCAAGTCCATGTCTATAGAGGTTTTAATTGACTATAGAGTATCAATTGACGAGGAAATTGACAAAGATATGATTTAATTGAGACATGGAAGATATCATTGATGTTGGACTAATAGGATTTGAAAACAAAAAGTACTTATTCTGGTCCAGTTGTTCTAAGAAGGAACTTGAGAGTTTTGGTGAAATTATTAATTTCTCTTTTAAAATATGCATAACTCTCCATAGTCTTGAACAGCAGAAATTACTTACTGTGCAGTTGTCTTGTAAAGCCCTTCCAGCTAATTACTTGGAAAATAACTTTCATGCTAGACCTTGAAGCAGAAAGTTTGCAGCAGAGACAGAGTCTGTTTTCCTGTGAGTGTGCACTGTAAGCTTGGGAGTCCAGTAACAGCCCTGTCGTTGCCAATAAGCTTGAAAGGTGTCAGGGAGATAGGCTAGCACAGACTCTGATCATTGCTGTAAAAGGCTAGAAACACAGTGAGTAGAAAAAGGAGAAAGAACATTTGTCAAGTTCCATTTTAATCAGAAAGGAGCTGAGTCTGTAATAGTGTCCCTAAAGACATTAATCCATTACCCACACATTGCATGCAGAGAGATTAAAGCTCCCAATAATAGAGTGTTTACTGAGCACCCTATGGCCCAAACCATACAGCATTATTTCTACCGACCTATGGAGAATGTGGGCTGACCTTTCAGAAATGACAGTGTTGGATTCCATATGTATATTGGTACACAGGATGACTGCTAGCTGCTCTAATGCACTTTTCATCCCAGTGGCAAGCTTTGTATTTTACTTTAATGGTGGCACATGTGTTTGAATGACCTATTATAATGCATAAAAGGAAACTTTTATCTTAACTTGCAAAGATTTATTGATTATATCCTATGATCTTTTTTTTCTCCCTTTAAAATGATTGCGTGTTTGTTTCAAACCCCTGTTGACTGGTGAAAGGCTTATCAGTTAAGAGCATTTCCTACTCTTTCAGAGGACCAGCGTTCAGTTCCCAGAATCCACATCAGGCAACCCACAACCACCCACAACTGCAGCTTCTGGCCTCTAGGTACCAACTTACAATATCAGCTGCAGCAGCAGCAGTGCTAATAAAATGTTTTTAAAGAGCCTGGAGCTGTAGAGCTGGCTCTAAGTTTATGCACACTGCTGCTCCTGCAGAAGACCCAGCTTCAGTTCCCAGCACCCACCCAGTGGTTCACAACCATCCATGACCCAGCTCCTGGGGATCTGCTGCCTTCTTCTGATCTCCTCAGATACCAGGAACACCTTTAAGATTATTTTTGTGGCTGGGAGCGTGGCTGGATCAGTAGTGCTTGCTGTGCAAATTAAGTGTCTGAGTCAGTGTGATGTAATAACACACATGTGCAAGTTCACACACATAAACACACACAACAAAACGCTTTATCTTTTAAAATTGTTTCTTTTAAAGTCATTCTTTTAAATTTAAATGTATGTATATATGTGTGCTACAGTGCACTATTGGAGGTCAGGCATAGCAAGAGGGAGTTGGTTCTCTCCATTCACGCTTGGGGTCCCACATGTTTGAATATAAGAATGCACATGCTCAGCAAACATATGGAAGTCAAAGAATAACTTTTGGGACTTGGTTCTCTCCTCCTGCCTCATTCTTGCATAAGGGTCTCTGGTCTTTGTGCTATGTACACTGGTGTAGCTTAGGGTCTTTCCTCTGATTCTTCTGTCTCTGCCTCCTGTCGCTTTACGAGAACGCTAGGATTACAGATGTGCATGGACACATTGGGCTTTCTACATCTGTTCTAGGGACTGAACTCAGATCCTCAGGGTTGCATAGCAAGGACTTTTACCTGCTAAGCTGTATTCCCACCCGCTTAAAATTATTGTTGTAAATATCTAGTTCGAAATTATTTTCTAAAATTATTTTAAATATCCTTTTAATTTTTTAATTTTTAAAGATTTATTTATTTTATTTAATTGTATAAGTGTCTTGCCCACATATATATATGTGTAGCATATGTATATGCCTTGTGCCTTCAGAAGTCAGAAGAGAGCCACAGATCCCCTAGAACCTGACTGGAGATGGTTGTGAGCACCATGTGACTGCTGGGACCAGGTCTCTGCAAGACCAGCCAGTACTCTTCCCTCTGAGCCAGCTCTCTAGCGCTCCATGAAATGTTTTTTAAAAACTTTTACAAGAAAAGAATGTTTAGGGGCTTTTTTAGAGGGTTTTTTGTTCTTGGGGGTCTCTATGTCGTCCTAGTTGTCCTGGAAATCACTATGTAGACCAGACTGGCTTCGGATTCAGAGATTTGCCTGCCTCTGCCTCTCTAGTGCTGGGGTGAAAGGCATAGGCTACCTCACCTGACCAAGGTTTTATTTTTCAAACATAATCTAAGAATAAAATTTTCAACTAATTTTTAAAATTAAGATGCTTTATTTCCTGAGTGTAGTGGCACACACCTTTGATCCCAGCACTTGGAAGGCAGAGGCAGGCAGATCTGTAAGTTTAAGGTCAGCCTGGTCCTACATAGTGAGTTTTAGGACCACTAGAGCTACATAGTGAGACCCTGTCTCAAAACCCAACAAAACAATATCAACAAAAAGATTCATTTATTTACAATAATCAACATAAAGACATCAGTCCGACAGCCGCAGCTTGTAGGTCCTGAAGGATGAAGATTTGAAAGTGAGGCCATGGCTAAACACCTGAAGTTCATTGCCAGGACTGTGATGGTTCAGGAGGGGAATGTGGAAGGTGCATACAGGACCTTGAACAGAATCCTCACTACCGATGGGCTTACTGAGGTCATAAAGCAGCGGCGTTTCTGTGAGAAGCCCTGCCGCCGCCGCCAGCGGGAGAGCTATGAAACATGCCGGAGGATCTACAACATGGAAATGGCTCGAAAGATTAACTTCTTGATGAGGAAGAACCGGGCAGACCCATGGCTGGGCTGCTAAGCCCACGTTAGTTCTGTGTCTGACTGTTCTTACACAACCCCAATCTCTGTTACCTCTACAATAAACTCGATCACACGTGGGAAAAAAAAATCAGTCCTTTCATTTAGGACCAAGGTGTTTGTGTTTAAACGACAGAATTGCACTATTGATATTTTAACCTATGTTTGATGATAGAGAAATAAATGAGTCATATAACTTTCATTACCACCTCCCTTTCCTCTAAAGTTCATATACTTACTTACCTCTTTGGTTAGTCTGAGACTTGTAGAATTCAGTTACATTTTGAAATGTGTCTACCATTACTTTAATGAGAACATCTTTGAAGCAATCTTTTTTCTCAGTGTTCACAGACACAGAAAGTGGTGATAGCAACAACCTCAGCCCACCCCCCCCCCTTTCCAGCCCAGAAGTGAGGGGATCATTACCCAGCAAGGAGAGGGCCGAGTAGCTCAGAATAATCCACAGACCTGAGGGAGGAAGGCAAATAGGAACACTGTATGCAGGGACTGGAGCTTGGGCCACGGTGCCAGGCAAGAACAGGGTATAGGATCTCAGTTTCATAGAAGAATGCATTAATGACTTCCTTCATGGCCAAGTTGGAGATGAGGTATTCCTGGGTCAGAGTGTCCCAAGACACAGATTCAAAGTGGTCCACAGGCCGGGCGGTGGTGGCGCACGCCTTTAATCCCAGCACTCGGGAGGCAGAGGCAGGCGGATCTCTGTGAGTTCGAGACCAGCCTGGTCTACAGAGCTAGTTCCAGGATAGGCTCCAAAACCACAGAGAAACCCTGTCTCGAAAAACCAAAAAAAAAAAAAAAAAAAAAGAGGGAAGCCTCAAAGTGGTCCACACCTTCAGTTTCTCCTCAGTGTCCTTTGCCATCATAGATGATGCCACGGGGCATGCTGCAGGCTTCCCGCATCCGTTCAGAGCTGGTCTTGCCACACCACCAGTCAGACATACTTCCTTGTTTCCTTCTTGTCCACCCGAGAGAAGAACCCATCTGTGTGCCATCTATCTGCTGTATTTGGCCTCAGTGTAGGTCTGCTAGGCCTGAATGTGGCTGTCGTTCTTGCCTCGCTCATGGTTCCCAGGATACATCAGTTCCCTGTCTGGCTCAGCAGCAGTGAGTCTGGTGAGACAGAAGTGCAGCTCACTCTCTTGGGAGTTGTGCTGTTCCTCAGGACTGTTCCGGTGCTGCTGTTGATGCAAAGGGGTTGGGGATGTCATCTGCATGGGCCACTGCTCCTTGTCTGCTTATGGTGGCTACTGAATCTGCAGGTAATACAGGGCCCAGTTAGCATAGTACATCATCACTGGTGTGTTGCTGGTAATGCTCCAGCCAAAGCAGGCCACTGCCTCCAGGTACTTTCAGGGCCCAGCATCGGCACCTCCATCCTTTTCCTCCTGGCCCAGTTCCCACAGCCTGTAGAAACAGTTCATACAGTGAGCAAACACCTTAAGGTAATGTTGAGGTATATTCAATGGTTAAAGTTCTAAGAAAGATGGCATACAGGAGATCATATAGTTCCTAGTTTAAAGATGGCATCAGGAGATCATATAGTTCCTAGTTTAAAGATGGCATCAGGAGATCATATAGTTCCTAGTTTAAAGATGGCATCAGGAGATCATATAGCTCCTAGTTTAAAGATGGAATACAGGAGATTATATAGTTCCTAGTTTAAAGAAACTCTCCAGATGAAACATTCTTGCTCTCCCCTGTCTGTCACTAGTTCCTCCTAAATTACTTACAGAGATGGATTATGGGAAGCAGAGTGCACCAGGCTTGGGTTCTCACTTGCAGCTGCCAGTTTAAAAGTTTCTGACTATAAATATAAAACAAGATATGTTGGAACTGGAGAATTGGCTGGTTAAAGCCTCTGTTCTTCTAGAGGATGTGGGTTCGATTCCCAGTACCCACTTAGCAGCCATAATTCCAGTTCCAGGGGATCAGGTCCCTCTTCTGGTCCACAGGCAGTACACATACATATGTGTAAACAAACTATCCATGCAAATAAAATTTAAAATTTTCTTTTTGTTTGTTAGAGACAGGGTTTCTCTGTGTAGCATTGGCTGTCCTGGAACTCACTCTGTAGACCAGGCTAGCCTCAAACTCACAGAGATCCTCCTGCCTCTGTCTCCCATGTACTGGGATTAAAGACATGTGCTACAACCACCTGGTACAAATAAAATTTTAAAAGAATTTTTAGCTCCTCAATTCTATCCATAATTATGGAAGTGGTCTCACTCCCATAAATACCCCCAGCCCCTCAGTTATGACCCACTGGTCCAAGTCTGTGTATTTCCCCTCTCCACTCACCTCCCTTTGGTCTCTGGATCCTCCTGCCACGCCAATTTGCTGCTGAGTCATCCTCTTTGGCCGCCCAGGTGCGGCTGCCGCTCCTCTGGGCAGGAAAGGGGGGCTAGTTCTGACTCTGACCCGGCAGAGCGGACAGACAGAGAATGCGCTGGCTTTTCTTGAGTTTTGGAATCTGTGCTGTACCACACTGCTGATTTTCATTTCTAGTATGGCAAGTATCGATAGATAGCATCTACATAAAATCTTCAGATCTTTGATAATCTTAAAAGGTTTGCTGGGCATGGTGTGCACTTCTGTAATCTCAGCTCTTAGGAGAGCAAAACAAGAGGATGATAAATTCAAGACCAGGCTGGGCCAAATAAAAAAGACTACATAATGGGTATTTGAGAGTAGATAGTTTGAGAATCTCTGCTACAGAGGCACAGTAACACAACAGGCAATGACAAAGGGAAGCAAAGGCAAGCCAAGTTCCGTAAGATCCCTGCAAGAGCTCGAGAAAGGATGAAAGGCCAAGCTTCCTAATAAAGAAGTACAGGGTTAAAAGGATGCTTGCGTCACTTTTTAGATCAACTGTGAAAGAATTTAAGAGCAGTTTGGCAGAATATTAGAAACGCGTGTCCCTTTTGATAATTTCTGGAAAAATATCCTGCAGAAATTATGAAGTGTATATTTAAGGCTAGCATGTGATACAGAGTTGTAATCCCAGCACTGAGAAGACAGGAAGATCTGGCATTGGAGGCCAGCCTATGTCACATAGCAAGGTCTTTGTTTCCAAAGAAATATATTTGTATTGTTTTATATGATACTTAAAAGCCTAGAAATAACCTAAAGTCCAAATGGTGATTTCAGTGTACTGAAAACATGAGTGATGTGTTTCTTTCGCCGTAATGAGTCAGGACCAGTAGAGTTGTTAGAGACCTCGAGGACCACCTATTGCATCTTTGTGTGGAACTGTGGCTCATGTGACCCTGACTGTATTCCTTCCCCTAGGTAGAATGTGTAGTGAATCCCAAGTAATAAGCAGCTCTCGTAGAGTCTGGTGAGCAACATGTGGGGTTGTTCTCCCAGCAAACCATTTCTAGCTGTTAGCTTTTAAAAATAGTGGTGGAGCACAGCAAGATAGAGAAGGGAAGCTGGCCTGGATGTTACACAGGAGAGCAGATGAGCAGGGCTGATTTCATGTTGGGCGCTTTGCCCAGGACACTTTTAATAGACTGTATAGTTAGTTACTCTAGGGATTCTGAGTCGGTGGTTATATCAGGCTTACACATTTATGCTTTAAAAGGAAAATTAGCAAGTTATTAGACTCTAGGTTCTTTGCTATGGCTCATATTTTTTGAGCAGCTTTTGTAACCCAGCCATTGAAAATTTGCAGTGTGGGGGGCTAGATTTTTGAGTAGCAAGACTAACTTAATTATAGAGAAATATTTGGAGAGCCAGCCATGGTGGTGCGTGCTTGTAATCCTAGCCAGGGAAGGATCAGTTCAAGGCCAGCCTGGCTATAAGAGACACTGAGACCGTCATCTCCCAGCTTCCCAATATAAAATTAAACCCACTGTGGTGTCACGTGTCTTTGATACAAGAACTCTGGATGCCAAGGCCACGTGTCATGTTCAGGTTCAGTCTAGTCTGGACAACCTAGGGAGACCCTATCTCAAAAACCCTTGACAAAGAGAAGGAACTGAACTTCCTTCATCTACAGCTCATTTTCTGAAACTGTGGGTGGCAAGTTCATGGGGTGATGTAACAGAGTTGGGAGTCACAAAAAAAAATTGACAGCAGCAAAATGTTTTTGAACATGCAATAACCAAAATTAATTCAAAATCAAATATGTACAAACGAAATGAATTTGCAGTATTCTGGCAGTGCTCACCCATCTTGTATGCAGGACCTCGCTGCAGCCTTGTTTGGAACACAAACATACACACCGCACTGCACACACCAGCACACCATGACTCACCTTCGACACCATTGGTCTATTAGAGATTGTAATGGTTTTACTGTCCATACAAAACTTTTTGCTGTTATAGAAACATAGTGATCTGATTATAGAAAACAAAGACTTCATATTTTCCCACCATCATTTCTCAGTGTGTAAGTATCAAATTAGTTTATCTTTGGACTGGATTGTGCTACAGTGTTTGATCTTAAAAATGGCTGTGTAACTTACAGTCTTGAATTTCATTGAAAAATATTGTTAAATTAACTTTAGCCTAGGATTAAGAGAAAATTTTCAGCCATTCTGCGATGGCCATAAACATACTGCTAATATTTTGTCCTATGTGTTTATGTGAAGCAGCATTTTTAACATTAATGAGTATAACATCAAAATATTGTGGATCAATGGGTAAGAGCACTCTGTTCTTACAGAGGACATGAGTTTAACTCCCATGGTGGTCACAACCATCTATAACTCTAGTTCCAGGTGATCCAGTGCCGTCTTCTGGCCTTCACCAGCAGTAAGCACACACAGTATACAGACATACATGAAGGCAACACATCCATACACATAAAATTTTTAAAAATCAAATATTTAAGTGATGCATGGTGTTACATCACACACCTTTAATTACAGCACCAAGGAGGCAGCCTAGTCTGCAAGGCAAGTGCCAGGCCAGCCAGGGCTACACAGAGAAACCCTATCCCAAAATCCAGCAACAAAACAAAACAAAAAGAAGCACCCTGCTTTCTCTCCAGTTGCTAATGAACTGTCTCCTGTTAGGTAATACAGCAGCTTGTTTATATGG